TGTAGCTCTCTTGCCTACTTCCTGAGGGACACCACCAGAAGGCACTGCTCACATGGCAGGCACTCCCTCACCTGGCTGACAATGGAAGGAACCTGCAAAATGCAGTCTGTACAGCACCAAGCCAGGACCTGGATGGAAGCCTTGACAGTGTGCAGTCCTTCAAGGACAGACACCTCACAGGTGCAAGCAGAGGAGGAGCTAGAAGTGGCAGTGGATCTGGGATTGTGATGTCCTCCAGCCATCTCTTTAGGTCTTCTAATCTGCTGCCTCTTACTTTCTCCCTCTCTTTCCAAGCAGACCTTACCTAGCAAACTCCTCTGTAGCTGGCCTGTTTGCTGTTCCTTGAACCTGAAGGTTTCCCTTTTCCCTGAAAACCTCTTTCCTCTCAGCAAGCTTACAATGAAGGAATATGAAAGAAAGTTTCCAACCAAACTCCTCCTCACTATGGGCTCTAGTTAACCAAGGAGCTTAAGTATTGGTTTAGCTGCTGAGTTTTAGCTGCTTAAAATAAAATAAAACTATGTAGGTCTTAATTACATATAAAAAAAAAAGAGAGAGAAAAATTTACCTTACAAGCTTCCCTTCAAAGAAGGAGGCAACCAACTGACCTGCAAAGACCTGTGAACTGCTTGTAAAATGTGCTGACTGAAAATGGTCCATCAAAACTGGTCTTTATATAAATTTGGGTTTTGACAGCCCAGATTTTTTCTGAAAATGTCCGTTTCCATGGAAAATTTTGACATTTAATTGAAAACAAAGAAGCTGATAATTTTCAGTTTGAGGTCTAAATATTTTGAATTTTAGTGGAAGGTTGAAAATTTCCACAGGATGAAAACCCACTATTCTAATGTTATTGTTTTCCCTTATGAACATTTTGCCAATATCTGGCAATTTTTGTGGCGGAAAAATATAGAATTTTGCTCAAATTTTTTCCCTTTTGTTTGGTCAAATTCAGTACTAATGATCATAACTTCACTGAAGTCACTGATACAAGTAGTAAATGTGGCTCGTTAATTTTATTATCAACACACATTGCAGTTCTATAGTAGCTCTGCCAATAATTAATTATCTCATAGTAGTTTGTCAAGGTCCATTTTATCAACTGCTTTCAAACTTACTTTAATATACATTCAGAAGAAAGACATAATGATATTCATTGTTGCTTTCAATCTCCTTAAAACATATTCATCAGTATTAAGCCTCCATGTATTTCTACTTTCCTTAGTAGGATTTGGTTAAGCCTAAGATACTGAACTTCTATATGCATATGCTCCCTCAATTGCCTTTAGTTCTTGCTATTCTTACACTTACTTCTTCTTTTCCAATTAGAATTAAAATTCACACTTTCTTTAATCAAGACTTTTCATTAATGCTTTCTCTACTTGATAACATTTTCTTGATAACATCAACTTTGCTGCTTATTTTATCAGTTTTTTTCTTTCCATTCCATTGACTGCTTTGTTTTCTTAGGAGTTTCTGTGTCGTCTTCCCCATTTCTCCTTTATTCCTCATCTCTTCATACAGATATTTTGTGTCCTTCAAACCATAATTTATCCATCTTGTAAATATGGTGAAACTCTCCACCTTAATCAACTTAATATAGACCAGAGGAATTGGAGAATTTCTAGTGGAACTACATTTAATCTTGACTTTGAACTTTAATTCTTATTTCTCAAACATCAACTTCAGGTCTATACAGTGAATTCTAATTATGTTATTCTTTTCATCATGGATCCAGACTGCT